AAAAAAATCATACAAAAACTTTTGATGTGATATATCCGTTACACTGAATAAGTGGATCTAGAGAGCAATATAGAATGGAAGTGAACTCATGACATGTCAAAAGTTTTCCCTACCTATCAAAGATTTCCCATGGTTGACGCTCAAAAGTCTTTAAATGTGCAAAGGTATCATTTTCCTTTTATTTGGAATGTTAAAAAAAAAAAAAAAAAAACTGTTGATGTGTATATTTGTTGTACGAAATAATTAGGTCATTCTGGAAAGAAGTAGAGAATCAAAGTGTGACATTGCACTGAATAGGTTTTTCTTCTGATTAGAATACAACAAAAAAACTCCTAACTTAGTATATCTGTTGCATTGAATATGTTATTCTAAAAAGAAATATAAAAGAGAAATACATTCATAATATGTCATAAGTTTTCCATTTCAATTATAAATTTTTCATGTTTCCTACTCAAATGTCTCTAAGGATATGTTTGGATAAAAATTAAGAAAGGGAAATGAAGGAAAGAGAGGAGAAGTGAAGGAGAGTAAATAATTAGTATTAATTTTGTTTAAATAGATTTAAAATAAAATAATAAAAAAAAAGAGGGAGGGGAAGATTATATTTTTTTATTTAATAAAACAAATTAAAAAAATAATCATAAAATTAATTAAAATTTTATAAATTTATATATTAAAATTAAAACAGCAATAAAAATTTAATTATATTTTTTTAAAAATAAAATAAAAATAAATTAAATCCTTCCAAATCCCTCCAAATTAATGAATTAAAAATAAATGATTTAGAAAAAAGTTCATCTCCTCCATCTACCCCTTTGTTCTCCTCTTTTAATGTTGTTATCCAAAAAAAAAAGCTCTCTCTTTCACTCTCCTCCCTTTCTCCCTGAATTCCCTCAATCCAAACAAAAAAATGTACAAAGAATTTTTTTTTTTTTTTGGGATTAAAATATCATAACAAACTTTTGACGTGGTATATTCATTGCGCCCAACAGGTCGTTCTGGAGAGCAATATATAGAACCAACGTGCAAACCGTACGAGGAGATTCCTTCTGTATAAACAAGAGTATGCAGTGGACGCGCAGGAAGGAACCTCGTATCATGGAATTAGTAGTCACAATTGCTTGATGCTCTTTACCAAGACAAGACAGCACTGTTGTTCTTGTGTTTTAGAGGCAAAGCAACTGATGCTTTTTCCTTGGGCGCGTGCCACATGAAGCAGACAGTATAGAAGAGTAAATTGGGGTTTCAAAACCAATTTATGAATTTCTTTTTTTTTTGGTGTATCAAGACTCACTATTCATTCAGCGACGAGGAAATTCGTGAGGATTTTTTTTTTTTTCTCATAAAATCTTCCAATGTCAAACTTTAATAAAACAAGATGGAATGAAAACTTTCTTACGCACCGACCAAGTTACAACCCATGTGTTAAACTAAATTATTAATTAATATATGGAAAGAAGAGATCAAAGTTAATTCCTTTGGTAATCAATGAACAAGTTGGAGTTAATTGCCGCCATGATTATTGGCAAACCACCCCAATGTGGGTTTGGCAATGAGTTGCCTTTTTCCATGACTAGGATTCATCAAAGTGCGGAACAAAATGTGGGCCGTATACCCACTTTCCGGTCAACTTCTCAATACTCATAGTCCACTACCAAGTCAACTGCCCCAAAATGTCGTAACACAAAATAATTGGATCAAAATTTTGCTTTTGGATCCTAAAATTGTAGATAGTTTTGATGCCATTCCCTATTAACCCCTTTATTTAGCCCTCAAATTGTTATTATTTGATCGGTTTATTTAATATGTATTATAAGAATATTATTTGATTGTAAATTTGTATAAAAAATGTAATAATTGACAATAATTTTAATATATTGTAGATAATTAATTAATTAAAAATTAATTTTTATTTTTTAACACAAATTTATAATAAAAAATATTTTTGTTATACTCTAAAAAAACTTTTATTTGATAATATTCCCCTCTGTTCAAGAAAATTTCTTAACTAGGGCTTTCTCTAACTATTTGAATTTATTGATTCATTCGCGACCTTGCTCTGGGAAGGAGGATTTCAGAATCATCAACGTGCATCATAACGCACCTAATGTTGTATGTACCACTACTACCATGGTAGCAGACATTATCAATGTGTTGACTCTTTAGCCTATTTGGGCACGCCCTCCTTGTTGGGTCTACGTTGGAGAAGCAGAAGAGGAGAAAAAAGCCTACTTAGCACCTCCGCATATATGATCTCTTGAAATTTTCTCGACCACTTTTGGAAGTTATTTTCAAGTTGTTCCTCTCCTTCTTTTCAAATATGAAGCATTAAGAGTGGTAATGTTCAATGAACAAAGTGAGAGTCATCATTATAAAGCACATCCAAAGCTGTTTAAACTTACCATCTGTAATATTGGAGGACCCCTCCACATCCCACTCAATTCAGATATCGTCCCATCAATGCCCTCAAAATTCCCAACTTCACTAGGAGCCTTTTTGGACCTTTTTCTCTTTTGTGTGCTTTATTCTCACCCTTTTTCGTCCTCTTTTTTATGCTTAATGATCGTTATTATCATTACGAGTTTGCCCGTTAAGTAGCAGCCAACGCCATCTTTTTCTTTTCCCATACTCATAAACATAAGCATGCTTAAAAAGGTTAACGTTTCTTTTTCTTTTTCTTTTCTGGGTTTATGCAACCTTAATTATCTGCTCTACTATTAGATTGGTCTGAGGAAGAGATATGATGGTGACAACAAGAAGTCTCAAAAAGTGTTTTAAGTGCTTAATAATTCAAAATTTTAAATTAAAAATCTTAAGATGTTAAAAAAATAATGAAAGAAAGGTCATCTGGTGTTTCAAAAAAAAATGGTGGCAACGAAGCACATGATTTTCCTTAATGAAATTTCTTACACGCAAGCTCTTTGAAATGATCGCATGATCTATCTCGTTAGCGGCTGCCGGCTGCAACACTAATCCTTTTGATGAAAATGTTGGGTCCTTGGTTATGTCAAGCAAACACACTGAGATTATGGAGTAAATTATTGCGCCGAGAAATAAATAAATAAATAAATAAATCTAGATTATGTCAGTGGGTTCATTTTGGAAGCCCGAAAACATTCATGAAAATAGCTAAATGGAGAGAGAAGTTGAGTTTCTGAGCTAAAACAACCCTCCAACCCAACTCTTTAGGCCAGGAGATCTTCGAAAGTTTTTGATGCGCTTACCAAGCAAGCCACCAACCAAAGGAGATAAATTTAAGCCCAAGGAAAGACAGCTGAGTTGTATACATCCTGCGAAAACCGTGTCAATCCACATAGTTATTATGATCATCTTAGCATAGGGGGATGGATCGAGTCCATCCTGTTAACAAGAGCTAAATTAGTTGAATTGTCCCACATAATAGTTACAATATAGTTATATAGACTCTCTATTTGAGCACATGACCAGGCACTTCAACAGTCGGGTATGAGCTATTCCTGCACGCCTTGCAATCTGAATCGATAACAACGAAAGAAAGAGACATCACATAAGCACTAGCAAAATTAGCAGTTAAGCCTTCAGTTAGTTACCCGGCCATTACAATCATTTTATCCATACAACACCAAGTACCATTATAGGTGCAATTCACTGGTCATCATAGACTTCCAAGGTGATAGTGTGTTGCGGTTGAAAATGATAGGAATTTAGCAGATACTATTTATCCAGTAGAAGATGAACAGTGAGCTACTCTTCTTGTACCAGAAGGCTCAGCTTCAACAAAATAACAAAAATGATGATACCAATGACAGAATGAAAACAAAACCTATTTTTATTTTGTTATCATGTTGGATTATACAAGTAATGTAATCCAGGAAAAAGAATAGATGGTAAAACAAACAGCCAACTCCAATGGATATTAAGGAATATCTAAAAATGCACCTGTCTAGATTGGAGATATGTACCCAACTCCATCAAAGAATTTGTAGGCCTTTCTAATAAATAACTCTTTCATTCATTCCAGTATGCTCCAAAAATACTGCAGGTGATGATAAATTATCAAAAACCAAGCTAAGGTATGCATGCATATCATCTCACATAAATTCCGCTATATAATTGATTCCACTCATCTTCGCAAGAATCCCATTGCCTGATAGACATTATTGAGAGTAGCATCAGCTATAGCTGCAGCTTTTGTAGCACCTTCTGCCAGGACTCCATCCAAATAAGCTGGATCAGATATTATTTCCTCATAGCGAACCTACATAGGCAAAACACACCAAATCAATAATCATTGAACATCAACCATGAGAGGAAAATTGACCACTCTCAAAAATGCAAAAAATAATTATCAGTGAAGCCATTAGCAAAATTGTAGAAATTAGCAAGATGATTAGGCAGAAAAGTATGGTCACCACTTCATCAGAAATAAGCTACACCCACATCAAGCAACAGCAAAAGAAGGGAAAAATCTGCAGTCACACAAATTATTCACAAAAAAAGGAGAAAAAGAAGAACACAGCCATCACTTTCAAAGATGGTATATAGTCAAACATTGACAGCATGTATTGTCACATCCAACTTTCAGTAAGCACTAATTTTGTGACTGGTGTTCAATACAATGCCTACGATGGGGGTCAGAAAATTTTATGCTTTCTAGACTGCAGTAGGCAGTTCCCATAAACTTAGTCGTACAAGTACTAGTCCATGCTACTAGTTGACTAAGCTAGGCTAAACAGCTAAAATAAGATTCAAATACATCAGCAATGCTTTCTACAACTCACAAGTCAACAGAAAGCATGCAGAAATGGATGTTAGTTCCCTGCTACACGTTTATAAATTTATGGGCACACTGGTTTGAAAGTCCAAACTTAAGATAATAAGTCTTACGTTTGCATGCACATCCAAGTATTAGTACACAACAAACTTCCTTAAGGGATGACACAAACAATTTCAACCAAGTCTTATGTTTCATAAATCACAGAGCAAGTATGAATTCTCTATCCTACATCATAACCTTCTTTAAGGCAGAAAAGAAAAGAGCTCTATATACAAAGGTAGAACCTGGATGGGATGCAAATGGTCCACCAATGCATCTGTAAGAAGGGTTTTAAAAGTGCCCCAGTTCATATC